AAAAAAAAAAAGGCGAAACAAGTTCCCAAACCATGTTTTATCAGCAGCAATTTCCTATTCCCTTCTAATATCCGAATCATATTTGCTCATTACCTGTGCTACACCGCGGTTTTTGTCCATTTTCTCTCTTTGCTTTCGGCCGAGCTCCCCCAGCAGCCTCAATTCCCAGCCCTCTGCCTTTGGAGCAGCTGTGGGGCCCCAGATGTGGACAGACAGGAGCCCTGACCTCCCCATGATGCCGGCAGCAAGGCTGAAGGAGGGATCCTGTGAGCCATCTTGGATGGAGCCTTCATGTCCTATGTGGCACAGACAAATTTTTTCAGCACTTGAGTAGTGTTTAACTACCAAGTTAAGTTCAGTAAGGCTGGTGGCTAAATTACTCACCAGCCTAATGACAGAGCAGCACGCTGTTATCAAGGCTCCAAATGCAAGTCCTACCCAGGCTTGTCTCAAAGTGCCAGGAGGGCCTCTTGACTGGTCCCCGGATGGTGGATTCTGGGGAGAGGCACCAAAAGCCTTGGATGTTTGCTACTCTATCTCCCTTGGCAGCCTCCACCCTGAGCGGCTGCTGAGGGAAAGAAAATTAACTCAAGCAACAGCAGGATCCTGGAAAGTTTCAGCTATGAGGGGATTTTTACCATTGCTCATGGGGGTTAGGACATGGGGGAGAACTGGGGCAATTTCTCTCTTATGCTGCTGTCAGTAAGGTGGAATAACGCCTCCTCCATTTTTAAGCCCAGCTTACTTTGCACTGACAAAAGTACAAACACAAATTGCAGTCATTAAAAAAATTTATTTGAACAAATATTAGACACATTCACAGAGGAAGAAAACAGCTCTCAGTACAGTTTCTTTTCCAGAAAGAAATAATCTCTGCTTCATACCAAGCTACTACAGGACTACCTTTGCTCTCCCTAGCAGGAGGGGAGGCTTGTGTTCTTTCCACCTGTGGGTTTGCCCCACAGGGATATGGCGCGTTCCTTAACTCCACAGCCCTTGGTCTCACAGGCTACAGAAATGCATCAAGACCCAACAGATAAAGTGAGCTAGTGATACAGCAAAGGTGCCTGTACAGGTAGGAAACACATGCAGGGATGCCTAGCTGAGTGAGAGCTTTGTTCTAGAAGTGGTGTCCTGCCTAGAGGCGTGAAGGACAAGTCACTCCTGGCTACAGCCTTCGTACTCGCCACCTCTGAGGACTCCCCGCTGGACCCCGATGGCCCTTCAGCTGGGGGAGTCCTCTCCAAGTTCAGCTCACTTTGCCACGCCATCCTTTGCAGGTCTCTAAGCCTTACCCTGCAGGCAGCTCCGAGGCTGTGGGCCACTTCCCCTGGCAAGCAGAGCTGCCCACCTCTCCCACACCGTGCTACCGCCCAGGGACACAGCAGGCTTGTCTCACATCCCAGGGACTACGTGAGCTGCGCCACAAAGAGAGATGGTTGTGAGAGATGTCTGCAGGCATTTGTTTGGATCCGGAGCCATACTGCGTTACTCGCATTTGTTTTTTTAGGGCCCCACTAGCTCAGGTGTGCTTGCTTTTGGTGCAGGGCAAACAACCCACAGCCACATCCCCTTCTGTCACATTACTCCAGAGCGTCCTCAAAGGGATGGGCCATGGCCAAAAGCAGAGAACCCCCTGAGTATTGAGAGCATTGCCTGACAGACCTGTCGTACTCTCTGCTACATAAACCAGAACGAAATGTCTCTGTGAAAGAAGTTTTAGAAATTGATGCAAATTCTGTACTAAAATGTGAGTAGACTCACTGGGAGATTAATCCCCTGAGAAACACATAAGAGGGCAATGAAGCAAACATAGTGAATGTTTTTCTCTGGCACGAACTTCACGGGTTTCCTTTGCTTTTGATTTCGGCAGATTAAGCAGTGACTTTTAAGAAAGGGAAGCACAACAGAAAGAAGCCCCGAGCCCTCCGTTCCTGTTCTGCAGCCTCAGGAAGAACAGTACAAGGTAAATTCTGTTCTCCCATGTAGATCTGAAACTGATGATTTTACTGACCAAGAGAAACTCACTCTCCCTACAACCCCCTCCTTTTGTTTCAGGTCTTAATGTATGGACAATATTACTTTGAAATTGAGATCACTAGCAAATTTTCCAGATCCCTGGAAGATTCCCTGAATATCAGTATCTCAACTAAGTAGAATCACAACTTTAACAATGTTCGTTCTTCTTTCTTTCTCCCTCTCCCTTTTTTCCTTCCTTCCATCTGTTTTTTTCTTTTTATTCCCTTCCTTCCCTTCCTTCTCTCTTCTCCTTTCATTACTTGCATGGTTCTCCATCTACATTTCACCCCTTGGTAGCATTACAAACCCTTTGCTGATGCAGTTTGGTCTCTTCTAGACAGACACAGCCATTCAACACTATTCCTCACCTGTTCTTTCTCTTGAAACATCACACACACAAAACGCCTTTCAAAACTGGTCCCCAAGTTCACGACTACCTCTTAAGATAGGGCTATAGCACTGGCACCCACCGGAGTGCGGAGTCCTCTTCAGAGAACATTTTGCTTAAAGAGTAGCTCCCAGTGCCTTTTCTCTTCAGCCTGCTAATGGCCCTTATTTCGGAAAAACCTGCTCAAGGGTACTCACAATACAGGGCCCTTAAGAAAAAGCGCTGCTTTTTCACAGTCAAGTGATTTCTACCTATTTCAGCAAGCAGAATCAGAGAGGGAACCCAAGCCTCATGTTGCAAACTCAGCAGCCCATGTCTGACCACACTGCAGTCGCCTGTAACTGCCCCTGCCCTACTCTCTGCCAAGCCTGTAAATCAGCCAAAACATAGGCAGACTTCAAAAGTCCCTCACTTTTATTATGGTGCGTCAGGACTCCAGAAGTGTGCTAGCTTCAGACAGAAAACTGGTCATTTTGAACAATGCAAGGAACCTGCCTGTTCTGGGGTACTGAGTCTTGGTGTACCAAAGGCTCTCACTAGTCTGGGACACCACGGACGTGTCCGGCAGGTACTTATAGCCGCCTGGACCATTCCACACCCTGGCACAATGGAAATCCAGTTCATGTCTCCTAGGCATCTGATACTGTAACCCAGCAAGAGCCAGGTTTCCAAGCCCAGCAGCTTATCATGCCCTCCTCACTGGGGCCATAGGAGCAGTCACTCCAAGAAGGTGCAGAGCCAATATTGGCATCGGGTATTTCTTTTTCCGCCCTCTCAAAGCAGCTTCAGACAAAGCAGAAGAACTTCTTCCAGCGGCACTTGGAGAGAGTTTTGATGCCTTTGGCAGTCATCTTCTTTTCCTGACGTGCTTTGTGCTCAACACCGCTGACAATGGCCATGTCGAAAACTTCTTTGAGGTTCTTCTGGGTCAGTGCTGAGCATTCCAGGTAGGCTTCAGCCCGGATTTTGTCAGCTAGACCTTCTGCCTGAGGCCGGGGCACAGGCTTCACATGGTAGCGATCCAGGCTGATGAGGACGTTGACATCGTCCCGCAAGTCTGCCTGCGTCCCCACCAGCAGCACCGGCGCCCGGGGATTGTGAGTTCGTATCTCAGGAATCCATTTCTCCGTAATGTTTTGGAAGGAGCTTGGGTTTACCACGCTGAAGCAGACAAGGAAGACGTCGGTGTCAGGGTAACAAAGTGAGCGCAAACAGTCAAAGTCCTCCTGTAGAAAATGGAGGGGGGAGAAGAAAAAAAAAAAGTCTTCACTGGACTGATCTCCTAACAGCATGACACTGCAGTGGATTTTTCACACAGTAACTAGGACAGCATCACCCTCAGAGGCAGGGCATGGTGCTGACTCTGTGGCCGTGCCACAGTTCAGGCACAGGTTCTGGAGCTGAAGGAGTCTGTCATTCACCCGTCTATGACTGCCACACCAGCAAACGGCTAATGCTGGACTAGTGCCTTTCGCCCCTTCCCAGTTAAACACCGCCTTCCTCAAAAGCCTGCAAACAGTTCCTGTTCCACAGCACCAGAGCTGACAGCCGCTTTGATAGAGCTTACCTGCCCAGCAGTGTCCCACAGCTGGATCCGGACTGGGGCTCCATCCACCAGGACCTGCACTGTAGCAGAAAGAGAATAACGATAAGTCTAAGGGAGTTGCCCAGCATACACATCCACACTCATACAGGTTTTTCCCCAGAGCACTCTGTTTTGTGTCCCACTGAACAGACTTGCTGAAGCCACTCGAATCTGTTCTCCTTGCTGAGCATGCTCCCAGACCTCACTAAAACAGCTGAAGCTGCACTGGGAACATTAAGAGACCTGCAATAGGCTTTCCGATTTGGTTATTCCTCGGGTGTTTTGGGCTCTTCTCTAGTATTTTGAAAGAATCGTTCTGTATTACCATCCAACTGCTTCCCTAGAGAAGAAGCGCCCTTAGCCAAACAGTGCCCCGAGAACACCTTGTTGTCCTTCTTCCACAACCCAAGAAAGCAGATAAGGATAAACACAAACCAAGAACTTCAGCAACTTCTGCCTAGCTTTCTGGCCCAGAGTGGAAGGTCAAATCAGTCTCCATTAAACAAGCTAATGGAAATTGCTCTTTTCCAGGCCAGAAATTTGGCCTTAAAAAAAACCCCACAGACCACCAAAAAACCAAAAAAAGTGCTTCTGTGAGTGTCCTAGTTAAGGAAAAGCAATGACCTAAACCCAGCTTTGAAATGAGGAAGCTATTAAGGAAACAGGGATGAGCGAAATCCCCTTCAGAGACACACTGAAAAACTGCTGAGTTACACATGTAAGGTCTGCTCCCATTTCACTCCCTAATCACAGTAAGCCTTCATGTGGTATCTGCTGACTCAGACAGATGGCTGGCAGGACCTCTGATGGAAATCTGGAATGAAACTGTTAGATGTTTCAGTGCACAGACACCACAAAGACTGGCTAGGAACCGAGGAAAAGGAGAAAGCGGTTGAGGGAGCTGGAAATCACTTGAAAGTCCTGACAAGGTGGATGGGGCTGTGGTCTGGTGAACAGAGGCAGACATCCTGGCTAAGGTGACAATGGCCGGCCCTTGACACAAGCTAGCTAAATGCCCTTACTGTGCCCAGGAGGAGGCTTTATTGTCCTTTTTGTTAGAAAAAAAAAAAAACCCAAACCAGAAGCAGGATCAATCTTTTGTGATTCTTGAACTAATTTGACAGGCCAGAAAAGTGATAGAAACAACTGAGGGTTTAACACCAGCTCTTGGAGGAGAGCACTCCTCCCTGAAAGCAGTCTGGGGAGAAGCAGGGAGACACAGACAAAAGATGAACTGAAGTTTGGTGGGAGACAACTGGAGGAAAAAGGAAGGGGTGAGTGCATCCACCAAGGTGCCACTCCTCGCGGCGTAGCTGAAAGTCACTGCTTCCTTGTGACTTCGAAGCGGGTGGGTTGTTACCATATCTTTGCCCCAGAGGAGGAAGAGAAACCTGTTCCTGATCAAAGAACCTGCTAGATCCTGACTTGATCTTCAAGGCACTGGGCATTTGCCTTTCTAGTATCTGGTTTCTTCTGTCTCACAAATGTGTTGAGAGAAGGAATTAGCATCTCCGAAACAGTTTTACAATCTTCAGAAGAAAGGCACCATGTATATTACCTGCTGCTCCAGTGCTTGCACAAGGTTTTTTCCATACCTGCCGCTAGCCTAAGCTACGCTATCAACTCAGCAACAGTTGATAAAATACCGCCCTCACAAGGTCCACACCCCCAGGACCGGGCTGGATTTCTGTACAACAGCGAAGGACCCGGCAGAACAGGATAGCCTGGTGCAGCAAGGGCAGCGGGTGCACGTTTTACTCACAGCTGCTCTGCCTGGCAGTGACACCCCACAGGAGGCAGCACGCAGACAGATGTGGCTGGGTCACAGTCCCAGAGCCGGTGCCCTGATAATGCAATATTTTCTCCTGTTGTGTTATCTTCTTTAACTGGGTGCTGCCATTGCAGTCCCCTGACCAGAACTAGGGTTGGGATGCAAACCGTGAAGCTCAGTTCTGCTGACAGTTTAAATTGCAAGTATTCCCCCAAGAGCGGAGGGAATTGGGCTGAAATTTCTGAAATGGATCCTGAACTGTGCTTCGTGAATCCACGGAGGACTTCTCTCAAGTTTATCCAGTTTAAGAGTAGGAGTGGGAAGGGAAACTTCTCTGTTCTCCCCTTTCCGCCCAATAAGCAGAAAGTGAACTTCAGAAGACGCATTTTTAATGTTTTTTATTTCTATTAGTTGCAAATGCTATGCATCTCTGGAAGTCAGACTCAGTACCTGGACATTCAAAGTGGGGCTAAACCCATGTGCAGCAGTTTTCTAATTACTTGCTGCTAATCGAGGAGTCTCTGAACTCACACTACCTCTACGTTTCTGGATTGTTTTACTATGGATTTGCCCTTCCCAACACCGGGGAGGCTAATAACTGTAGTAAAGTCAAGCCTCTCTCAGCCCAACCCTGCGCACATCAGTGTAAAGGGAGCAGAGAGAGCAGCAACCTTTCCCTTGGAGGACTCAAGGGCTCCTTACATCTGTTCCCAAAGGACCACTGGACCCTGAACAGCAGCGTGTTCCCAGTTCATTTCCTTCAAGTGACAGTGGAAGAGCTTGGAGAGGGTCAAGGCAAGAGTGAGCAACAGAGGGGACATTCAGATAAACGAAATGCTCCCTTTAAGAACCCCTGAGACTATGGCACATTAGAAGTCTCGTTCCTGGTCTGCCCTGAGCCCATCTCTAATCTACCGATCTATACTGTGATGTCCTGTTACGTTTCTTCATACCAGATGAAGATCAGAAATCTTTCACAGGGCTTTGTATTTTCCTGGGGTTTATATTAGAAATTGCAGCCTGAAAGAAGAGGATTGGAGGAACAAGAACAAAGATGGCATTTACAAAAGTGGAAACTACTGAGAGCTCATGAGCTGACGGGGACGGCAGTTCTCGTCAGATGTACAAAGCTCTTCAACGCTTTAGCAACCTCTGCTCAACGCTAACTTTAGCAGACACTAAAGAAGCTAAAAACCAACAACAACAAAATTGAGCCCCCTTCCATTCAGCCGCAGGAACACCACAAAACCAGGCAGGCGCCCGGCTGCCCAGCACCCGCACGCCAACTCGCCACCCGCAGGGCTCGGACCCGCGATGGGGCCTCGGGCCGACCGCAGA